AAAAAAAAAAACAAAAAAAAGAAAAAGGAGAAGATTTTAAATAGAAAAGACCTTTGGAAAGTGGGGAAGGCTATCAATTGGAAACTGCTGATCACATGTCTTATTTTAATATTTGAAACTGCTTTCATGAATGGAAAGCAAATGTGATTAGACTCTCCTCATAAAGTTTTAAAGATCAATAAAAGATTAATGTGCAGAGATAGTTATCGAAATCAGAAGCTTCAAAGCTTTAATCAAGTTTAGAAAATTTGATTAGAACCAAACAGCTGAAATTATACTTGAAAGATAAAGAACAGTTTAGAATTTGGTATATTACTAGCAGAAGTCAAGTTCTAATAGTTTAGAAGATATAAAGCTTATTTCCAGTTTAGAAACATAAACCCACTTAACACATTTAGCAATTTCTAAATATAAATACAAGTTATGGAGTAAAATATTTCTCCAAGCAGAACTTCTGAAATAGAAAAGAGTTCACACAGTGATTTATAGTGGTTTCGCTAACTTCGCTACATACCCCTCCCCAAGACCTCATCTTGAGATCCTCAACTAGTTATCTTTTTCAAGGTAAGAGACAAGAACATAATGCAATAAGAAATAACATTAGATAATACCTTTGTCTACTAAATTATTCCCAAAGGTGTTCTCGTATACCTCAACCTTTCTGTTTTTAAATCATCAAAATTCTCGAGAATTAGAGTTTGACTTGAGCAACAAATCTCCCTTTTTTTATGATGACAAAACCAATAAATTTTAAGCAAACGTAATATGTGCTCCCCAAGATTTTAACATAAAAAAAATAGTTTAAAGTATGTAATGATCTAATATGAAGAAGTTTTGCACATGTATATGCTCCCCTAAATGAGGTGAAGTAAAAAAATATTATTGAGATTAGAAAAGGAAATTATTTAGAAACTGATACTTGAATAATAAATTAGACAGATTTAAGATTTCTAATAATCAGGCAGCATATGGTCGGCATAAATAGAATAAAAACTGACATTAGAATAGAACAAAATATTAATGCTAACTGCAGAGCATATGTTAGAATAAAAATCTAAGTTCTAAGACTAAACAATCAGTTTATCATATGTAAAATATGCTCACAGAATAACACAGATTAAGATAATAATGAGATGTAGTATAATTACCAATATTAGCAGAGTAGTACTTAAACCATCAAACATATCCTATGTTTCCCCCTTTTTTGTCATCATAACAAAAGGGTTAGTAATCAGAGCACATAAAAAAAACTTTAACAGAATTCAAAGAAATAACTACAAAGAACATAAAATATATTGTTCATACAGACCAAACAAAGAGAATCAGAGAGGTATTGGATTTCAGTTCTAGTCTATTAGAACTTCTGAGTTCTGAGCAGGAGTGGTTTCATAAGAGGCTTTCATGGTGTTTAGAAGAAGGGGTGCAATGGATGTTTTTCATGAACCTATTTTACCGAGTGTGCTTTATTTCTTTGGTTTCTCAAAAAGCAGCGAGTGTAGGGTGTTCCTTTAACTTTCAGAGTAGCTAGCTTCCTTTATTAAACATTCATTCTTGCAAAGGATTCGATGAAGAGACGATTATGCTCATCAAGTCTTGCAATGTTTTAATTGCCTATCGAGGCTCCTTATTACTGCTATTATAAGCTCTTTTTCCATTTTGCCTAGCATAGCTTCTCCTACTTCCTTTGAGTTAGATTAAAATCAAGATTCTTTTTCAGTTTGACTCAGGTTGACTGATCGTTCATCCAATTCCAGTTTTTCTGTTTAAGATCACAGGTTTTTTATTTTCTTTCTTTTTCTACCTT